GTATATCTTGTTAATTAATCATAATATACTAACGTCAAGAATTTCTTGTTATTATGTCATAATATACTAATGTCAAGAATATCTTGATATGTAATAATATAATAACGTGAAGAATATCTTGTTGTTATATCAATATACTAACGTCAAGAATATATTGTTTTTATATCAATATAATAACGTCAAGAATATCTTGTTATTATTAACAGTTTACTGTATACCGGTTATGTTGCAAGTCATTGTTAATTATTTATAATGATGCCTTGAACGTTTCATATTTAAATGTATTAATCAACAAGTTTCCATATTTGTTAAAAAAAATTCTACACATAGTACAGCTAGTAGTCACCAGGGTGATGTCGAAGAACTTTTTCGAGTCGGTGTTGACGATACTGTAAACAGTTTGGCTGTTGGCCCTCAGCTGTCGTGTTTGAAGTTCCACGCGGCCCACTAGAGCTCCGGGGGTATTTTCTGGTACTGAGAACCTGTAATGAAGCTGGTTGAATCTCGGGTCTCTCTCCGCAGCCTCGTTCACATAGATTTTCAGCAACGCCTGGGATAAACACAGCGACATTAGGCCTAGCTATCTCATAGATAATCGTTATTTTAACAAATTCTTGATTCGGTTCGAAGTATTTCGTTGATTGTCATTAACTCATAATCAAAGGAAATTAACTCAAAAGATAATAAAAAAACAAGAACTCTGTAAATAATGCAGATGGGTTTGTACACCGGTGTATGAACGGTATATATATCGACGTTTTCGGCCGTAATCCCAATTTAGGATATTTATGTGAAAGAGTGTTGAAGTTAATCAACGACGACTTTGTTCAAATCAGTTTCTTTGAGTAAATCCACCCTGGGAAAGATGAAACTGTCGACCATTTTTAGCTTTTTACACGTCATGGGCCCTTACAATAAAATTTGGATTTTATTATTAGCTTGTTGTTTGTAATAATATTACTACTTGGTGATAATTTTCCACACTTTAACTTGTTTCACCTTGTTAGTTTCCTTTCGCCATGAACGTCAAGATTACTCAAACTATATAAACCTAACCCTTCATTCATTCCCTTTCCACTCCTAATTAAAAACAAAAAGCTTGAAGATCAAGAAACTATCAGTAGAATAAATACTTTAATCCTAATGATAACATAATTCAGTTTAAATTAATTAGTGACGTAAAGTAGTATCTGTACAAACTTACGGTTCCTTTCCACAAACCGTCGAATGCCTCCAGTGTGATTGAGTATTCCTGGGCTTCTGATATGTCCAACTGTCGAGTAACGTTTATAGTCCCAAGAATAGGGTCGATGTCAAACGGTACTATAAGGTTGATAAAGATGTCAGTTGTAGAATAATTAAAGTGTATACCAACCGATTAAACGTTCTATTTCTACATAAAAACGTATAACAATTGGTTAACACAAAGATATTCAATGGGATATCTGGTTTTTAACGTTATAAGTCACTGGGTGAAGGAGAAATACAATGAGATCTGTTAAGAGTTGGTAACAGATTTGTTGCCCCCTAGTGGCTCAAAGATAAGTTTGCAGGTGACGACGTTAAAAATCGGCTTTTGATACCTCAGATAGTCCATTTTGTAGCTTTCAACTTGGCAACAACCAAACCAAAAACAGTTCTATTCTGGCTGAGCAGAGTAATACAATGATATTACAATGTTGGTTACAGTTATGCTCTGGTGGAGTAATACAATGATATTACAATGTTGGTTACAGTTATGATCTGGTGGAGTAATACAATGATATTACAATGTTGGTTACACTTATGATCTGGTGGAGTAATACAATGATATTACAATGTTGGTTACAGTTATGATATGGTGGAGTAATACAATGATATTACAATGTTGGTTACGGTTATGATCTGGTGGAGTAATACAATGATATTACAATGTTGGTTACAGTTATGATCTGGTGGAGGAATACAATGATATTACAATGTTGGTTACAGTTATGATCTGGTGGAGTAATACAATGATATTACAATGTTGGTTACAGTTATGATCTGGTGGAGTAATACAATGGTATTACAATGTTGGTTACAGTTATGATCTGTTGAATGCTTGGGAAACAGGGATGTAAAGTTTGATTGTTTATTGACTTGTTTTTTCTGTTCAATATAGAGACAGGGATGTTAGGTTTCATTGTTTATTGACTTGTTTTTACTGTTCAATATAGAGACAGGGATGTAAAGTTTGATTGTTTATTGACTTGTTTTTACTGTTCAATATAGAGACAGGGATGTTAGGTTTC